CGTTGAAGCAGTGCTGTCTGCGGCTGTCTGATCGGTGATGCGCAAAACCAACCCCATTCGCAAGCGCCTTGTTGCAGGGTAGGGTCATGGATACAGACCGCGTTGACCGTAAGTATTCCTCCAATTTCTGCCTACTTCGACTGACATTTCCAGGGTTATCTAACCGTTTTTCCGTCTTCTGTTCTTTTGAATATTGAATCGTTTCAGGATTGATGTTGGTCTGCCCACCGTCCCATCTCTCGATCGACTTGCGCCCTATTCAGAGGCAGACGGGTGGAAATAACGGAAAAGACAAAATGGAATAAATGGAATGGGCTTACTTGTGTGAATATTGCGAGATGCTCGTGGTTTCCTCTGTTGCCTTCAAGTAAGATGTTTTAGTCATCCAGAACAGGGCCGTGGATGTTTCCATGTCGATGTCCCGTCGTGCCGTCTCCGCTCTTTCTTCAGCGTACGTAGGCTTCTGTGTTATTCTGATGATTCTGATACCGTTCGCTCTCGCTCAATTATATGCCAAGTCCAAGCCTCTCACCCTCCCAAAGACTTCTCTCTTGACCCTCCCGACCAGCTTGGCAAAGTCTTCATGTCAAACTTGCAGGCGTGCCCATCAATTCCGCTCATCAAAAAGCAAGTACCCTAGAGTCCGAGCTGAATTTGGCATGGAGCAAAATGGATTCATCAAGACTACGTGATTCCAGTCTTGGAGGTTGAATCGAGTTGGATTCAGGGGTAGAACGGCAATTCAATCGTCGACAGCTACTTCTCCACCTACGGTCCACACTAATTTGACACCATCTTCCTTCTCCTCAACCCCCTCCAGCTCTGCTGTCTCCTCCGACAGATCCACCCCCCTGGCCTCTTCTACATCCACCACCTCCTCCGGCAACTCCTCCACCCTCGCTTCTTCTACATTCGCCTCGTTCCAGGTGCTCTTTGTGGAGATCACCTCAGCGCCGTCTCATGGGCAAATCACGACGTGAAGATTCACGTGCGGCAGCGACAGCTCACTGTCTGCCTCCAAGAATGAGGCTCGTCCGTTTTTGGGTTTGCGGGTGGACGCTCGTCAACTGTCCTTGTCAGCGAAACTACTGGAACATTTCCGGGGTCCCGCTCTCCCATGTGCTCTTCAGGCGAGTCGCCCCCGTGGGGAAGCTTCTCGTTGAATTTTCCAGAGCGGGATCAATCCTCCTGTGGAGGAGCAAGTCCTTGCTCACGACCGAAATGGCTCAGTTGCAGCGGGACCAGACCCGTTTGGTCTCTCCGCCAGATTTTGCCTGACGCGTGGCCTCTGGTCGCGACCATTTTCAAACCAACTCCTCGGAAGATGGTTGCTTTCCTTGCGTCCGGAGGATGGGGATTGAATGGTACAGTGGCAGTAGGAACGCGAGGATTCGAACTGGTCGTTGACCGGTGCGGAGGCCAGGAGGCCAGTCTTTAACAGTGGTATTAGCAGAAAAATCACTGAGGTCAGGCCAGGAATTTCCCTGGCCTGTTGGGTGGAAATGTTGCCTTCGGTCTTGTCTTTTCCATATCACCTTATCCACTCCTCATCGTCCCAATCGCCCCAAATTACCTCGTCCTCCGTCGACTCCTCCGCACCTTCAGAACTTTGGGCGTTCTGCTCTCCAATGACATTTGGAGTATCATCCTCTACAGGAGCACGTCCTTCTTCACTGACTGAGAGTTCAACCGGGTAACTGCCTGTAGAAGTGTTCGCTTGGGCATAAGGCTGACTGTCTTCAGTCGGAGCGGGACCAGACCTGGTTGTGGTCTCTTCGTCAGCTTTCGCGCGACGCTCGGCCTTCTTGGCCTCTCTCGCCACCTTCTTTGCCTCCCGGAGGCACCTCTTGGCGAGGTTGATTTCAACCTGAGCGACCCATTGCGCGGCCTCCGTACTTGATCTACGAAAGTGGTCGAATTGCGCTCGGGAGACGTTGTGGGGGTGGGGGCAATTTTCTACGACACAATGGGCAGTGTGACCGTAGAACCAGTAGCAACACTTCAAGATGGGGTTGCCATCGTCATCCTTTGTCCACAAGCTCGGCTTGTACCGGTTGGGAGGGAGCTTCCGTTCACCTTGGTCATTTCGCGAGGGTGTCGCAGCGCTCCAAGATTTCTGACCTTTGGTGGTGACGGCTGTCCAAGCCTCTTCCGAAGGATTGGCTGCCTTTGGTTTGTACAAGTCAGGATCAAAATAGGTCCTCTGCGTGGTCGAGTCTGTCCGTGGAGACTCTACCACATCAACTCCGCTTCGTGGAGGCATTGCATCACTGCTTGGTTTGTACTCAGGACCCAAAAAGGTCCTTTGCGTGGTCGAGCCTGTCAGGGAAGACTCTGCCACATCAGCTCCGCGTCGCGGAGGCACTGAATCAAACCGGAAAGGTGTAGTTGGTGTTGATTCATCATCCCCTGACCCTGGAAGGGCGGAGAGCATGTCAGAGCCTTTGAAAGGGTCGCGACGCGGAGCGGGTGCCGGCGTGACTGATTCGGCCGGGACGACTGGCTTGGCGCGTAGGTGAGGCGGTGGAGTTGGCTCGCGAGACTTGCCTTTGGCCTCCCTCCACGCTCGAACCTCGCGCTCGTTTTCGTCGCACGCCAGCCGCCACCGGATGAAGTCGTCTGACCTGCCGGTTGGGGGTTGGCGAGGGATGATGTTGAGGTTCATCCCCTTTGCGATGCCTCTTTTGATGGCCGAATCCCACTCCTTGTCTAATTTTCTGTAAGCCAGCATTCTTGTGGGGGTTACAACACGGGAATCGACATACCTTTGTACTCATCCGACTCGCGGTCAAGCTCGGTGCGTGTGTGGTGGGGAGGTGGAGTTGGCCGACGAGACTTGCCGTTGGCCTCCTCCCACTCATCCACCTTGCGCGCGTTTTCTTTGCACGCCAGTCGCCACCGGATGTAACTTTCTCTGTCAGTCGGCGCTCGGCGAGGGATGAATTTGACGTCGATTCCCTTTTCCTTGAGGTCTCTGAGGGCCCAATCCCACTCCGCGTCTAATTTTCTGTAAGCAAGTATTCTTGTGAGGGTAATAACACAGCAGTCGACCTACCTTTATAGTCGTCTGACTCGCGGTCAAGCTCCGGCAGCTGGAGCCGCCTGGGAGCTGCAGGTGCCGTCTGCTCCGGCCAAGGTTCTGTCGTTCAAGGTTAGCTTCACAGAATCGAAGAGTTGACGGTAGGATGAATGCTCACGTTGGTACCTATGTCCACCAGGCGAGTAGGCTGTTGCCAACGGTCAGCTGAATGCAATCAGAGAGCTGGTCTCAAGAAATGCTCACGTTGAGGGGCCGATTGGTGTCTATAAGGCCCATAGCCGCCACCTGGATGGTAGTCACCGCTGTGTGGTGGGTAGCCACCACGTTGTGGTGTTGGGTAGGCTGTCGCTCACGGTCAGCTGCATTCACGCAAAGACTTGAGCGCGAGCAAGATGCTTACGTTCAGAATAGGAATTGTACGACCGGTAAGGGCCGTAGCCACCAGGCGCGTACGGATGCATGGTGGGAGCGGTGAAATGTGATGTGTTGTGGTGTTGAAAAGATTCGGAGGGACGAGAAGCTAGAGGCCCATGAGAGGGGCGCCACTGCCCGTTGCGCGGCAGACATGGAAATGGAAGGCATCTACCCAACGTAGAGTTGCAGTGCCGTGGTCTTTGTGCGCCGCCACAGCCCACTAAGTATCACCGAACAACATCGTCGCAGTATCTGCATCATACCAACTCTGCATCGCTCGACTGCATCAGTATCTTTGAATCGCTCCCATCCTCCAAATTCACGCGCGGTCGAGATGCTCGTCGCCCGGGACGCGCGCAGCCACTTCGATCACTTCAACGAGACGCCTTCTACGGGACCGATACCGAGTCCTACCATCGTTCCCGAATGCAAAGCGCACAGAATACAAGAGCTCGAGCCATTCTCGTCTCGAACGTCTCGCTGGAAAAGGCGGCATCAGGAAGAGACGGAGATTTGGAGCCACTTTGGGGAAATCTTCGACGGACAAGTCACAGCTCTTTTCTATGCAGTTGTTGGCCTCAGACAGTTACATTGGTGCTACAGAGCGCGTCTACGAGCCTCATGTAAAGTTTGTCAAATTCTTGGTTGTATTCATAGCAGTGTTTGGGGGACGGGCAGATTTGTTTGAAGTGCACAAGATATTCGCCAGGCTCCAAGCTGGCCCAGAATCGGGACACTCTAAGGAAATGAAGTCGCCAATAAGAAAGTACTCGGAGCTTGATGGACTATGTTGAAAAATGAAGGGCATGTTGGAGATAGAATTAAGCATCGCCGCGTCCCTCAATTTGATCATCGGCAGTGAACATACGCTATTCTACAGATGAACATCCTTATCAATGCATTTCTTGACTGATTGTTTTATGACAAAAGTGAGTGGTGCACTGTACACTATTCGCTTTTTCCGCCTCTAATTAATCACGGCTCTTTACTTTGGCAGCTAATGATCTGATCTCAGAGAGCAACCAATGCCGTTTCCTGATCCGAAGCCACAATCTAAATGCATCATTTCCAATTGCCAGGCAATCGGTAACAGGCAAAGAGCGGAGGTGGATGGTCAAAAGTATCGACCGGAGTCCTGGTGGGCTGGAAATTTGGCACGACTTGCAAATTTTCATCGGTCAGAAAGTAATGAGTCTAATCTCTGAAGGTCGTTGGAAAAAGCGGCACCAAGTTCATAGCTAGAAGGAGATGAAATGTGGCAGCACTTTTGAAAAATTGAACTGTCAAGTTGCATTTCGTTTTTCCACAATTATTGGTCTCAGACCGATGCAGTAATTTACCTAGCGTCCGAGAAGTGTGTTCTCTCGTATTACCCGTACCAGCCCCTTTCTCTCACGTCCCGCCGCCGTCCCCCCTGAAAACCCAAGACCACCCTTTTAACCTGTCGTCCAGAGATGCCACCCCCTCTTTCCCCCCTTCGGTGTCATTCTAAACATAATGCAACTTGTCCGATCGATTTTCATCAATCAACTCACAACCAAACATCGGGTCTGTGGTCTAGGGGTATGACACTCCCTTAGCATCGCCATTAGAGCTTCAAAAGCCTAATAACGACGCAAAGAACTGGGAGAGGTCCCGGGTTCAATTCCCGGCGGATCCAATAAGCTACTGCATCATTACGATGGTGTAGGGGTTGGTGTTGAGGCGGTTGATTAATTTTTTGAAGTTTTTTTTGCTCCGGGGTGGAGACCGAGGGGGCCGTGCGTTGGGCGCGCCGACAGAGGGCCGGAGACGTATCTTTTGGTGTGTATGAGGCAAGAGCAACGGAGGAGTACGTTGGAAGAGCTTGGGAGCAATCAACAACCTGATGCGGTCGTGGTGAAGTGTTTGGTCAGGGGGTGGTGACGGATCGGGGTGGTTTCGCGGAGTGGCGGCGGGGACTTCGTTATTTTTCCTGGCATGCGCTTCCTCTACTTCCAGCTACTCGAGGACATCACTTAAATGCTCGAATATGCGATGCGCGAAGAGCAGGTCGTCAGGGGTCGGTTCCGCCAGGGGGTGGAAGCGGGCAAAGATCGCGTGACGCGCGTCCGGTAAGTAGTTGCCGGCGGCCTCTCCCGAGATACCGCCAAAGCCGGCAACGATAATCCCGGCTTACCTGTCGAAAAACTTCAACCTCTCGCCCCGCAGTCCGAGCATCTTCAACAACGAGCAAGACAACGCATCTTCCATTTTCGGGGCACAAAAGTCTGACTCAACTCCCGCAATTGGCCAGCCGCTTCGCGACTATCTGCGTAGCATCCTCACACTGAGCGCACGAGAACTCCCTGTTCAACAACCATTGGTTAACAGATAGTCTAAACCGCTCAAGGACCCAAGGAGAAAGACGCTTCAACAGCCAAACAGTTTCAAAAGAAGATTGCATTGCGCAACTAGGCTCAAACCACCATTCTCTCCGCCAGTACCAAACAATAACCAATCATGCCAAACCCACCCTCCCCCTCGCACCCCCTCATCCTAGACGGCGGTCTCGCAACAACACTGGAAGCACCGCCCTTTTCTCTGCCATTGCAAACGCGCCTCTGGAGCGCCGCCGCGCTGCTCACCGCACCCTCCATTGTGCGCGCCGCTCACGCCGCCTTCTTCGCGTCCAGCGCGCAAGTCGGCACGACGGCCAGCTACCAAGCCAGCGCGGCCGGGCTCGCGCAAGAAGGCTACGAAGCCAGCCTAGCCGACGTCGTCGGCGCCAGCGTCAGCGCCGTGCGCGAGGCGCTAGGAGACGCGCGACCCCCGGCGCTCTGCCAGAGCCAGGCGGGCTTCGTTGCGGGCAGCGTAGGTCCGTACGGCGCGTATCTGTCGGACGGCAGCGAGTACACGGGCGCGTACTCGCTTTCGCGGGCGGCGTTTAAGGATTTCCACCGCGAACGCATGCAGGTGCTCGTGCGCGAGGGCGTCGACGTGTTGGCGCTCGAGACGCTGCCGAACGGCGAGGAGGTGGCGGCGCTGGTCGAGCTGCTCGAGGAGGACGACTTTGCGCACAGCGGCGTCACGGCGTGGGTGAGCCTGTCGGTCAAGCCGGGCGTGGACGGCGCGGTCGTGTTGTGTGATGGCACGCCGCTGGCGGACGTGTGCGCCCTCGTCGAGAAATCGCCGCTCGTCGTCGCCGTCGGCGTCAACTGCGTGCCGCAGGACCTGGTCACGCCCGCGCTGCGCCTGCTCCGAACGCATACCACAAAGACGCTGCTGTGCTATCCCAACAGCGGCGAGGTGTGGGATGCCGAGGCCAAGGTGTGGAGGGGCGACAAGGCGCAGGGGAGGAGCTTGGAGGATAGGGTCAGGGAGTGGTGGGAGGCTGGCGCGAGGTGGATTGGTGGATGTTGTCGTGTTGGACCGAAGGATATTGAGGTTGTTAGGCGTGTGGTTGAGGAGTTGTGGGAGAAGGAGGTGAGGGAGAGCCGGCAATAGGGATAGGTAGCTGGATGCGTTGCAAAAGGATTCTTTGTAGAATAAGTTACGTGAAGATGGCACAGCAAGACTGCGGCAACCATCAGAAACTGGCCGTGAGAACTCCATGCATTTTCCGTGTCGTACATCAAGTACCGTCCTATCCACAGCTCGCAAAGTCGGCTCCCTGTAAACCCAGTGTAATTTTCCCAAGCCCAAACACATACGGCTGACCCTGAGACCGATTAAGACATGAAGATCCAGATTGTCGATGCTGTGTCCATGCCCTTGTCCACTTTTTGCCCCCAACTGCTTCGACACAGGCAAGCTCTTGCGCAGTTTGACGGATCGTCGAGATGCTGAAGCGAGGCCGAATAAATGCAGTTAGCATCGTCGTAGTAGCACCTCTGATTCACCATTCTCCGGAGACAAATCTCCAGAGAAGTTGTCCGCAAGACGGCTTCGGGAGATTTGCTCTCCAGGAGAATGCTGGCACGAGATGTTCCGCCGGCTAGGTAGGATTGTGAGGACGCATTCTCTCAACTCTCGCTTCGAGGTATGTTCTGAAAGGGAACTTGTTGTCAGCGTCAAAGGGATGCTGGACCGGGAGAAGTTGCTGGAAACGACGACGCAGGTCTTCGCAAGGGGAAGGTAGGGGAAGCCTCTCATAATGCCGCTAAAAGCCCTGCTGAAAAGGAGAAGAGGTTTGCCATGTCCAGGAAACTTTCTCCACTGTTGTCGAATACACCGTGGTCGACTCCCGCGCATCCCCCAAACTCCCGCCCTGTTTGCCTGCGCGACGGCCTCGCTGCCTCGACCCCTTGTCGTAGCAGCGCCGCGCGGAACGCATCGCAGCAGAGCGGGCGACCGGTTCCTGGTGGTGCGGTTGTTTTCTGCCCACAGTCCACTGCCTGCTCGTGGAAAAACAACACTCTTCCTCAACACCCATCCCCACACCAACGCCTCATCGTTCTTTGGCCAAGCTCTTTACTTCTTACTTCTTTTGATCTCTCTCTGAATGCCGGCCGCTGAGGGTCTGATGTCTTGCTCCTCTTGCTGCAGCTTCGCAGCGGAGGCTTGCGGGTGGCAGACCCTCACGCAGACGTCCAAGGCGTTTCCCTCGCCCCTACACCAACTGCGTCGCTCAAGGATACGTCTCAAGGCTTCAAAGACGTTTCGCAAACGTCAAAACAGCCCTTGCGCGTCGTCCGAAGCCTGCGGGAGCGGGAGGCGTGGTGCTGGTGCGCGCTCTGCTTTCCTCCAAGCTGATGAGCCCAACACCCCCAAGCTCCCGCGAACCACAATGCCTTGAGCATTGCTTGAGGCCTGCGACAAGGGACGTTGAGCTCTTCGAAACAATCGCGCTCTACTCTTACCAAATTGACATTCGATTGATGCTGCTCAACCTCTTCGGTCGGGCTTCTCCGACCTTGAGTCAACTGCACCGTAAGTCAGCCTCATCCCATCCCACGTTGCTTCAAGTCACTTACCAATACACTCACAGCTTCCCTGTCTCTTTCTACTTTCCCCTCCATGCGGCTGTTTTTATATCGGAGTCTCGGCCCACCCATGCCGCCTCTTCTTTTGCGCAGCCGCAGAGCAAAACGGTTTCAAAATAGCTCTTCGCCCGCCCACCTTGGCGAAGAGCCTATCATGTGCCGGACATACTTGCACGTCTGTATAATGGTTCCGGATACGCAACATCAAGAGCTTGGATGACCACGGGTGGAGTGTTGAAGTGGGTCGAGGGTACTCTTCAACGCCGTCTTGCCCTCTGATGGCACACACTCCCGGTAAGTCACCTCCCATCCCAAGCTCCTTGTTCTTGCCCTTTCCTTTCCACACGCCCTCCACGTACACTTGGAATCTCTTTACACAATGAAGGGTCTTCCGCAACGCGTGTGTTGGCTCAAGCTCGTCCGGGCTCGGGTCAACCCACAAGGGCAAGATGAAATGACCGCCACTGTCTACACTTGCGTGCGACTTGCGTAACAGTCGGACGTTCAACTGGAGGCTGACATACCTTTCCCATGCTGACTCGCAATGGCTAACTAGCTGACAGGTCGGGCTTTGAGGTCACTGCCGTCGTCGATAGATGTGGTCGAAGTTGACATGCATCTCGCCGCCGGTCCAACTCAAGGCCTACACACTCGCCGCCCGCCTTCAATGCGAGTTGTGCCGAGCTGCTACAGGCCAATATCAAGAGGCTCTCTTTGGCACCCGCTGGAGACTTGAGGTAGGTATCGGTAAGTATCCACCTCCAGCGGGAAGACAACAAGCCACACATGTGCATTTTCATGCTTTCAGTTTCTCCTGGTAAGATTCGATGCCGACACAATCTTGAGTCTTTTGCTGATGGTTGCCATATGCGAGGGGAATCAGCCCAGCCAGCCTCTCATACCGCTTCTCTTCTTTGGTGGAGCTGCGGTCTCATCGCATGGCAAGATCAATCGGCCACCAAGGCCCCTTTGACGGTCTTTTTGTGCTGTCGAAGGGACTTTTCTGGCCGCACACGAAGCTCCCTTGTAGCTTCAAGATAAGTCGTCAAGGTAAGTCTCCCCAGTTCGCAGATGCTCCTCAGGCTCCCGGCTTCGGTCCCCTCGCGGCACCTACCTACCATCCGATGAGACACCGGCGCTGTCCAAGGTCTTGTCGAAAAAGGTGCCGCAACATCAAAAGTCGAAAGATGAGGCCGAGCTCGAATAGTCGCTCGGACCTTATCAAGTTTGCGAGACATACCAACAACGCCGCGATACCAGGGCATTTTATTGCTGAATATTTGTCAGGTTTCAAGGTAAGTCTTCAAGGTAAGTCCCTTCGTAAGTCTCCCCAGTCCGTGGATGCTCTTCAGGCTCCCTCCCGCCTTCCCTCCTCCCGCGGCACCCACCTACCATCCGATGAGACTCCGGCGCCGTCCAAGGTCTTGTCGCAAAGGGTGCCGCAAGATTAAAGTCGCACGTAGACGAGGCCGAGCTCGTACAGTCGCTCTGACCTTATCCCAGTTGCGAGATATGCCACCAGAAGATCAACTTACTGACTCTTTTACAGGTTCGCTTCGGCTCAGCCAAGCTCCAATGGTGTTCAGCGCATTAACCACGGTCGGGTGCTTCCTTCGCAAGAGGGAGGTACGCGGTAGCCCGAATCCAATGCGCACTTATCTCCTCTCCTCTCACGCGCAGCATGACCCGACTCGATCTGGCGGAATGCCGGGTCGGT